ATTAATTTTGCTTCTCTGATAATCATAGCTTTTGAATTTAGTCCCTTTTGATTTTAAATTTATGGCCTTAGTATGACATTAGCAGAGTTTATTGCATTTTGCAGGTGGCATTCATATGTTGTTATTTTACATACAGTATATTGTGGGCAACGGGTTACAATTTTTTTATCAAAATTTCCAGAACCACACAAGTTCTTCTTAATTAGACTTGCAAATTAGTAATGCTTTTCTCTTTTGGGGGGAGGAGGGTATTTAAAACATCACAGGAATTTATGTGCCTTTTTTCCTTGTATTGGGGAAAGTTTGCAATCAAGTTTGTTATTTGAAACTTTGACATTTTTTAGTAAGTTCTGATTTACACATGAAGTCATCATCCTTTGATAATTCCAAACAAATGTCTTTTTCAAGCAAGCCAGTGTTTTTGTATGTGTTCCACTAGTTCCAAAAGGGTTTAACAGATTTATCTTGCTCTCTGCCACTTAAAACAATGGAAAGTTGTCATCTCAATTACATTTTTAATATTTTGAATAATTTAGTAATTGACACTTTAATCATAGATTTCAGCAGTATAAACCCTACCCACCGATCACCTGCACTTTCTCCAAAGAAAATAATAAGCAAATAGCAATAAATAAAAACAATAACTAAATGTAACAGAAATAATAAATCAGAATTAATACTATTAGTAATGTTATCACATAAAGTAGAAAAAGAAAGCATGAAGTAACATTTTTCAGATAAAATCTTTATAGTTCTTAGGCACAGTAAGATCTGAAGGCAGTCTTTAATTTGTATAGTATGTTTTTAAAACTAAACTGACCCCATACTTAGTTCCAAGAGGGTTCAAAATTCTTACCATTGATTCCCATGATAGAGGTTCATTTCCTACTGCATATGTAAATAAAATTCTTAAAAGATTTCTCGGGATTTTGTTTGGCTTATAAGTACAGTTCTTGAATTTTTTTAAAGCTACATAATGGTTGATAATGAAAATTTGTTCTTACAAGTATTAAATTATGCCAAAAAAGCCATTTACTTTATATTCTTTAAATTCCATAGCATGATTCAACTAAAGCTTGGAATGTAAACTGTCTTAAATAACACTAATGAAATGTACAGGTAATGAACAATATAACTAACTTAATTTTCGTATAACAGATAACATCTGGAGGAAATATGTATTGGTAAGCTATAGAAAACTAATTTTCTAGCGACCACATCTGTAGATGTTATTTATTGTATGTTCACTTAACAGTCGATTATTCAGTTTAGAAATCTATTCTCTTCTTTATTAGAGCTTTTAATGTACTCACCTTGGTTCAAATGGTCTGCTCATTATCTGAAAAAATATAAATGGCATTCACATGGAACAACATGATTGTTTTTATTATATCCACTTGTGTGCAAGCATTCAGAAATGGCAAGAGAAACACATTTATTGCTTTACATTCAAAGTAATATTTAGAGGGTATTTGAAAGTCAAGCAAAACCAGTCATTTGGCCAAATGGATGTATGTGTATAATCAGAAACTCCTGAGTTTTAATCTCAGCATTAGGCCTCGGGCAAGTCACTTAAAGTCGTTCCCTTTGTTTCTCGATCTGAAGATTATGGGTGCTATTCTCTTAGAGAAAAAGGGCGGTTGCTAAATCAGGGTACCAAATAGGAGTGTTTTTTTAATAAACATACTTGATCCTTTTTCTGTTTTTATTTTTCTAGATTTAAGAGGTAACATATTAGGCTTTTGAGGAAAAAAATATGAAACAATTACAACTCTATAGGAATGTATAAAAATAGTTATAAAACTAGCTTTATTTAATTTGCTTCAACTATTCATAGACTGAGGAAATTATAACGTTCTTTCAGAAAATCTAACTTAATAAAGCTGACCATGTCTCTCTGTTTTAAATAGATTTTATTACAGAACCAGTGATGTTGTAAAACATGAGGTTTTGTTAAAAAAAAAAAATACAAAGGCCTAATTGTATTTTTTTTTTTTAAGAAAGTATTGCATCAGACAGTTTCATTTAAATATATTGGCTGGCTCTGTGCTCTCACCACAATTATTGATTCTAATTTTTCTTAAACTGTTTTGTTTTTTTTTTAATGCCACTTAATGGGGTGAAAAAAATCACTGTGATGCTTCTGTGAACTATATTTGACTGTATACCTTCTTATTAGTTAAACAGCTTTGTATTTACCCTCGCCTGAAATTAGGATATGTTTTCCCTTAACAGTATCTTACTAACACAGTCAAATGTAACTCTTCATGAAAAAGAAAAGTGTAAGATTAAAGAAAAAAAAAAAACACTTTTTTAAAGTAAAGTGTAGTTATGGTTTGGTTCCCTGATAGTGTAAACACCCTGAAGAAAAGAAATTACCTCTCCCCGCTCCAGCTTTGTGCTCATGGTAAATCAAGTGACTAGCTGTATTAGCTACACTCAAAAAGTCAAGTAGAAGAAAAGCCCAACTCTCAGTCAGAGCTCCAGGTTCTAAGAATAAATGGGAACTTCATTCCACCAGAGAAATGATGTGGGCCTGAGGAGCTCCAAATTTCCCAGCGCCGAAGACCAGGAGTGCTGGGTCATTGGCAGGTAGTTCAAATTAGCTTCCTAAAGAAATCCAGTCCATGGGGAGGGCTGGCAGGGATAAAATGAGAGAGTTGAGCACAAATATCTGCTTACATTTAAGTGTATAATCTGATGGGAGATGGGGCACAGGTGAGCAGATGGTAGAATCTGCTCCTAACAGGGTGGAGAGGAAATAGGGAATCTATTGAGAACTTGCACCTCCAGGTGAGAGAGAATTAGCAGAAAGGCCTAGCCTGTATACGGAAGTGCATAACAGTGGGACAGATATGGCCACAGCAACAAATAAGATTCAGCTTCATTAAAAGGACATACTTGTATCTTGCCAATTAGCTCAGGCTTATTTTCTCTATGCCTGCAGGAAATTCAGTAACTTCCCTTCAGTTCTTTCTCTCTCCTTTTTTCAATGTCTCACCCACCACCACTCCCCCCATATTTCTATTTCTCAGCCTATATTAAAGTCTGTATCACTCGTCCTCTTCCCTGGCTCTGTATTCCCATGTGCTGCATATTTATTTTGCCTATAATGTTTCAAAGGGCACTAAAATATGTTTAGCTGTTTCATTGTCCTAGTTTAGTAAAATAAAGAGCAATCTAAAATGTAGGAGGATGAAAAATCAAGCGTGATGAAAAAAGATACAAATAATTTTTTGGAAGCTGAAAATGCCTCCATTTAGGAAAACAAAAACAAAAACTGGGGCTTATGAATGTGATGAGAGAAAAGAATCGTTCTGCTATGCTTTTTCTTGATATTCTATTTTGATTAACATTTACTAGTCAACTGAAGATAAACAATCTGGAATGATGTCATCTAACAGAATAGAGATTCAGTGCTCAATAACATCAATAATTTCCAAGCATGGCAACATGATGACACATTACAGTTTACTGAAAACTGGATAAGCCAATAAGTTAGCACACCAGGGTTTAACTCCCAGACCTAGCAATTATTTGACTAAGCCAGTCATTTAATCTCTTGGTTTCCAATTCACTTGCCTATAAAGTTAGGACACTTATATGTATACTTTATATGTATACTAAGCAGCAACTTTCTATAAAATCAAATTAAAGTTAGAAATATGAATTCAATGTAAGATACATTGGTATGAATAAGCAATAACTTAGCCTCCAGTACATTTCAAAACCCATATAAGTAAAAATAAATAGTAATATTTAAGTGATGAAATATTATATAAGTTTATCTGAACTATTGTGAAATTAAAAATGAATATACAATGATTTTAGGATTTTTCCAGACTACAGGGGATGGTAATTATGTGGTAAATTTATGCATTTCCAGAGTATTGTCTTCAAACTTGGAAGGCTCCCGGTCTTTGTCGGCAAATAGGATAACATCCTCTCAGGGCCACAAAAACAGGGTCATGGCGCTTACTATATAAACTAGAACGTCAATTTATCGATTTACAGTATTAAGGAATGTAGTAAGAGAATCAGAGCACAAAAGTAGGCATATCTTTATAGATCATTTGAGAGATGGAAAGTCAAATTATGATAAAAATGTTGGGTTAGAATCAGAACAAGAGGAACTAATAAAATAATTCAGATGTTTAAAGAAATCAGTGCCCTCATATCCTCTTTCTCTCCTTTTTTTAATTTTTTATTTTAATTATTTCTTTTTTTAATTTTTATTTATTTATTTATTTGTTTGTTTATTTATTTATTTATTTATTTTGAGAGAGAGGCATTAATTTATTAATTTGTTGGCCCACTTATGTATGCATTAATTAGTTGATTTTTTTATGTGCCCGACTGGGGATCGAACCCACAACCTTGGTTTATCGGATGATACTCTAACCAACTGAGCTAACCAGCCAGGACTTAAATTGACGTTTTAATTCCTGTTTCTTCATTTTCATTGTTTAACAACCATGATCTCCCTTCCTCTATTTGATACACTCTTACTATAGAATTATTGCTCACAGTGAAATTTTACCCTGCCCTCTCTGTTCTTGGTTGATTTTGCAAGCATTTCTGATTTACTGTGTGCTGGCTTTATACAGTAATCTAGAGCCTTTAACAAGTTCTTAATGATCATTTCACTATTGCCTCCAAGAACAGCTGTATCTCACTGGGTAACGTCTATCACAATCAGGCTGTTATTGAGTGTTTTAAGCATCTAACCCTCTGCCAAACTTTGAGAAGAAATATAGGGGATCTAAACCACGGTCTCTGAGTACTGAGAGCTTGTAAGCAAGAGGAAGGGGATACTGACCCATGCATGAACAGTGAAAGCTCAGAGAAGTACAAAATGAAGACCTAAACCACATAGGATGGAAAGAGAATTAGACAGTGGGTAGAATAAAATGCTAATTATCAGATGTGGTACTGAAATAGTAAATTGTGGTTACACACAAAAGGCTTTATCATAATACAGCTCTTTTCTTCCCCTCCAGCAAATGGTAGAGGTTGTCAAGTCTTCAGGTGGCCTTTTCCCCAACCCTCTAGAAGAAGGAATCTCATTTGATATTTACTCAACATTCATAGAGCCACCCCCAATATTGGATACAGAAATGAAGGTATGTTTCCTTTTGTCTCTTAATTCAACCTATTTCAGCATGGGTCTTTCTAAGGGGTGGGAAGAAAGGAAGCAAATGTTCTTCCATTTTTCTCTCCCTGTGACTTTCCCCAGCTAAATATAAATATTTATTTACCATTAATTTGCAGGTAGGCCAGCTGAGGTTGGTTCAGGAATTTTAATCTTTTCCACTCCATCATCTTCCCCAGTTTCCACTTTCACTTTCTCAAAGTAAACACTGTTAGTTAGCACCATGACTTGATCTGTCATGATGCTCATAAATAATGAAAATGCAGGATGATTCAAATTGCAATCTCCTGGCAGATTGACATCAGTCCTGGTAGCAAATGACCCCAAAGTTTGAGGCTCCATATAAATCCCCGAATACTCTAGATATCACCTGAACATTGTTTTCTTTCAATATTCTAGAGATTGGATCAAGAGCAAGGCCCGACGGAGTCCCAGCCAGCAGCCAGCACTTCAGAGTCAGATGTTTTAGCTGGTTTCACCATTGAAGATATAAAATCAGTGCTTGCCCAAGTCACAGATGACATCCTAATCGGCATTCAGGTGCTCAGCCTTGATAATGTGCTTGCTTACTTCATTACTGGTTAATTAGCCAACTTCATCCTTAATGTCTGTAAGCACTACCTACACTCAGCTAGCAAGAGCAAGGCTTATGATGGAAGATTCAATTTAACATCTCCACATAACTCTCAGTTGAGTCATCTGAGACTCAATAAGATCACAAAATAACTTTGCCAACAGCACATAGTGTAGTGTTATCAGTTTGAAAAATCTTTCAGCATCGAGACCCAAAAAATAACATGGTAAAGACTTCATGCCTTGTCATAACAAAATCGCTCATGCGAGAGTAATTAGAGTACATTGCTAAAAGCGGTAAACACTGAAGATCACCGCATAATTCTCAGCTAAGTTTTCTTACCAAATCTTTGAACTCCCTCTCATATAGTTTGCTCCTTTTCACATAGCACTAATAGCTAGGCAGTTTACACCAAAGGATGCATGAAAACGGTGCTGGCAACAGCGAGCTTAGCAGCAATTGCCAATGATGGATCAGTCGGCTTAGCTTTATGCTTAATTTTTTTTTTCCCCATCCAAAAAAGCACATTTCTACCTCTACACAAAGACTTGCATCATTGCCCAGGCAAAATGATTAAATAAGTGAATTGCATATTTTGAGAGGATTTATAAATTCTTGTGGAAATGACCCTGAATCAATAAGACAATCTACTGCATTTTTAAAATATTAATGCATCTTAGGGAACGATTTACTTGATATCTGAGCATGAGACTGTATATAAAAAGCACACTGTATTAACAACTAATTTAGAAAGGGCAAAAGATTAGCTTGGCATAAGCATACCTTGTTACTGTTTAATCGTCAAATGTTAATGCACTATTTACATGAACGTTTAATGATTTGATGCCAACAGAATCAGCCAAAGTCCTTGGCTTAATAAAGAGTATTTAGTGTTTACCAGAAATAGTGGAAGAACACGTTTTACACAAAGCTGTATTGTTAGCAACCCCATGAATGTAATAACTGGTTACTGTGTGGAAGGGCAGAGTGCAGTTGAATTAAGCTGAGTTCAGAACATATCTTCTTTTTAGAAGTGATAACATTTCATCTAAATATAGTTTATGTATAATCATTGCCCTGGGCTCCTTTGCAATCCTGTGGCTCTGAAATTATTGCCGAGGAACTACTAGACAGTAATAGAATTGTTTGCAGGCCTGAAAAATTGAAAACATCTTTACCAAGGCCATATTCCACATAGTGAGTGTGTTTTAAACTATTTATTGATTTTTTAAAAAATATTAGAGTCTGCAGCATTACAACACTACTATGTACCAGTGTCCAATTGGCCTGAAGCAATGCTTAACTGGGCTTAGAAGTTCATTAGTTGGGTCATCTAAATAGTATAATTAGACATAGAGAGAATCTGGACCAGAGGAGAAGGTGCTACGATCATTTCCATATTAAGTGGATTCAGGGATTAGCCTGGCCAAATTACTGCCAATTTTTCAATAAAATGACAAGATGATGTGGATTTATGCAATGCTTCAAGATAGCAAATCTTTTTCTGTATTTTCTACCAATTATTCTAGTAAACTCTAGGCAAATTAGGCAGGCACTTCTCTGACAAATAAATTGAAAAAGGAGAGATGCAGGAAGACTGAGTCATTTGTTCAGAGTTTCCAAGGTCAGAAGCTGATGAAAGACTCTGAATGGGAGTTGTAAACTGGGTTCTAGTTTGAATTCCAGAGCTATCCGCAAAAACCACATAACCTCTAATATCACGACCAGACTACTTTGGATTTTAATACTCCCGTGGTGTGGCACTTTTTCAGTGTTTGCCCTTGTGTCTTGGTCTGATTCCAAGTTGGGTAATTACTCTCTGCTTACCTAAATTTCTCCCCCTGTTTTAGATGGTATGTTATTTTCCAATTCTAAAACCTACCTCCCAGTGTCACTGGCTCTTAAAATCTGCCGCATCCCTGTTCAAAGGTAGCCACATGCCAGTGGCCAGTGTGTGTGTAGGCCTGAATACACTGGTCTGCTGTAGAAACATTTACTGAATTATTAATTGTAAGCTGCTTAAAATTTTCCAATAGTTTTTCTTCTCATTTATTTTAAAATCATATAATTATTATATTTTTTGGAGTAAAAGACAGTAGAGAAATCATGTTTTAAGTACAATTTTTTCAGAGCTCCTTCTCTAGTGTGGATATAGGCATATTTTACTTCCTGTAACTCAGAAATTTCTGAAAATGGAGTGTGAATCCTTAAATATTGTATATTGATTCACTTACTTTCCCATTGACTCACTTTATAGTTTTAGAGATTTATTAAGAATGAAGAAAAAATTCAAAAGAATTAAGTTATCTTGGCCTAGATATGTTAATTATACTGAATAGAGCAAACATTTAAGGTTATATAGTTTACCTATTTTAATTTTAAGGATACATTGAAAATGAAATTATTTTGGCCCCATATTGTATAATAAAAGATCATACCCAATGGAGCAAATTTTAATATATTTAAAGAATTACATTTCAGAGAAATATGAATGCTAACACTAAGTTCTTGCTGTTAAATGTTGGCTGTTGGTTCTGTCTAAGCAACAGGGTAAAATAAAGTGAAAACCTTGAGGGAAGTTTGCCATCTTGGGACTATAGAGATTTTAGGTCAACTTGAATTTCCAAGTTAGAAAACTGGAGAGTGAGATCACCTCAAAGAAGTGATCACGGAGAGGCTACTGAACCAGGGCATATGTTTCCCATTCTCCCGGGAAGTAAACAGAGCATACCCAAGCCTATTGGGTGTGGGATAGCTTGTCTGTTCAGCAGGGTTCTAAGGAAGAACCAGGAGAGCTGGTAGACCAATGACAATGTGTTTTGACCAGACAAGGAGTATTTTGTCCGGCTCTGTTGGATGCGCCTGAACTGAAGTCTAATCACCACAATGGTGATCTTAAATGTAACTCCCCCTCTGTCAGTACACAATTCTGTTAGGTGTGCAACTTGTCTCCAGGAATCTTTTCCCCAAAACTCACACTTGTGTAGATGAATTCTGTTTCAGTGAAATACCAGAAAGGTCTCCAGGTTAATGTGAAAAAATGCTGGTGAGACAGTGAAACAGAAGCTGGTAGATGATAGTACATCTGCCCTTAGTTGAAAAGAAATGAGATTATTGATGGGCATAGAAAACACTATATCATCCACTGGTTAATGGCAGAGATACATTCTGAGAAATGCATTCTTAGGTAATATTATTGTGCAAACATCAGAAAGTATACTTAACATCAAACAACATGGAGCCTACATCACCAAGGCTATGTGATGTAGCCTATTGCTCTTAGGCTACAAGCATATAAAACATGTTACTGTGAAAAACAACACAAGAATAAATTAAGTTTAGGTGAGAATGATGCAATCAAGAAACATAGTAATCATGAGATGTATGAGTCCACTGCCTGTGAAATAGAAAACACTTTTTTATAAGTAGATAACACTCTAAAATAATAACAAAATGTGTAGTATATTAAGTACATAAGCTAGTAACATAATTGTTAATTGTCATTATCAAGTAGTATGCACTGAATATTATTGTATGGGCTACACCCTATATAATCAAAGGCTAATATGCAAATCAACCAAAAAGTGGAATGACTGGTCGCTATGATGTGCACTGTCCACCAGAGGGCAGACGTTCAATGCAGGAACTGCCCCTTGGTGGTCAGCGCTAAGGATGTGCAACTGCCAACTATCCCCCAATGGCTCCCAGACTGTGAGAGGGCATAGGCTGGGCTGAGGAATGCCTCCCCCCGCCACACACACACACACAAGTGCATGAATTTCATGCACCAGGCCTCTAGTACCTTTATATGATTGTACATTTGTTTATACCAGCATCACCATAAACATGTGAGTAATGTGCTATGCTATGACATTCTACTGGCTATATTATCACTTGGCAATAGGGTTTTTTTCATCTTTATTATAATCTTGCTAGAGGCCTGATGCACAAAATTCATGCAAGGGGCTCAGCCCTCACAGCCCCAGCCAGCCCTCGCAGGGCCTTGCAGCCCCAGCTGGCCCTCTCAGCCCTTCACGGCCCCTCATAGCCTCATCCGGAATGTAATCCAGGTTGTCGTCTGGAAGGTCGGCTGGATGGTCATTCTGCTGTTTGATCTAATTAGCATATTAGCTCTTTATTATATAGGACTAGAGACCTGGTGCATGAAAATTCATGCACTGGAGGGGGGTCCCTCAAACTGGCCTGCTCCCTCTTGCAATCTGGGAGCCCTTGGGGGCGGGAGGCGACCCGGCAATCAGGGAAAGGCAACCCCTATCAATCACACCTCTGTGGCTGTCAGTGCCGGCAGTGCAAGCCTCAGCCGGCCCTGGTTACCTGAGCCTCCGGTGGCATCAATTAGCATATACCCTCCTTATTGGCTCTGGGTGCTGCCATCTTTGCAACAGTGTAAGGGTCAATTAACATATTTCCTCTTTATTAGATAGGATGGGGCCACTGTCATATATATATGGTTTGTCTTGGACCCAAATGTCCTTATGTGACATGGGACTATAATTGAAAGTGGGAAGAGTCAGTTTAGCTCAAATCCTTTGGAATTTTGACCACATTATTCTTCCATCCATTTTATCCCTATATGAAATAGTAACATATTTTTAAAATATTTCATAACATCATGTCACTGAAATATAACATTGATGAATATATCACAAAATTAGGAATTAGAATTATGAATTTAAAAGTTAGCATGTAATATTTTAATACTTAATTTTTAATTGCTCAATATTTCAGGTAAGAACTAAGACCCTAAGTGGTTAAGTGTCTTGCCCAAGGGTACAATAGCTAAACTAATCCCTAGGTCTCCACACACCTAGACCTGTGTGCTCCTTTTAGCTCTACCCTAATCATGCCTGAGGGATTCGATATTCCTTAAAAAATGACAAGAGTTCCTTTGTAACCTGGAGTACCATTTTCATCCCTTTTTGGCTGTTCCACCCAATCACCAAGAAAGAACAAAATGGAAAACCAGAGAACAGGGCTTGATCTAAGGCTTGATAATACTTGAACCAAAGGAAAACAAAACAAAAAATACTTGATACTCTGGCATTACATGAGAATCTAGAATTGACACCAGCGTGATCTTTTCAGAAATATCAGTCCTTACTGTGAAGGTAAAACAAAATCTCATCAGATAAGGCAACCAAGATGTAGTACTTCAAAACTATTATAGTTATCCTCATAGAGAAAGAAATAAGAATGGAAAGATATATCTGGACCAAAACAGTATTTGATCTTTAAAATTTCTATGTAAAATTAATAAGAATTTCTTAAAGTATAATTCCCTGAAAACTTCAAATTATGTTATAGACATGAACATTCTACACTTTGAATTAGTAATTAACACATATGTATAAGCTACTTACTCTTCATATACTTGTAGATTTTTTTTTATCATCTAAACAAAAACACCAATTTTACCACATTGCCCACAGCTTGTTTCTCTACATGTGATTTTATTATCCATCATGAAAAAGAGCAGACATTTTCAGTATTACTAAAGTTCAGTTAATGTGGAAGTATTTCTGGAAGTGCAGGTAGCACTGCTAGTCCATGGAATATCACTGCCAGAGGCTAAATGCTATCACCGCTGCAGCAAGCACTGGAACCTGTCAGCAATCACTGACTTTTTTCTACCAAAACTATACCACCACGTGGCATAATCCCAGGAGTTATAATGTTTGATGAATACATTTAATTAAGGAAATTGTTCTAATTGTGAGATTATTTGTGTTGCTATTTCACAACAGAAGCTTTCTGGGATCCCATTTAGAATGTACTACACAGGAGACAAAAACATTTATTGCAAAGGAGTGGGGACACCAACAACATTGCAATAACTGAACCCTGAGCAGTTATTCTGATTCGGTGCTTCTTGGTAAAGTCCGTCTGAAAATACAGATAAATTATCCTATCTTCCAACACAAGGCTATGTGAAAAATGGCTGTCCAAATACCACTTCCTGTTCATAGCAGACATGCTATACATTGGGAATGTGCAGAGAAATATGATAAAGTGTTATCACATCACTACAGGCTGAAACACAGCTATGTCTGCAAAACAGGAAGGTGTGTGAGGGATAATGTCTGTCTTTAGGCACTATAGTATGTCAAAACCACAAAGACAATGTGCAGCGAAAGATAGCTCCATCATAACCACTTTTTTATGATTGTCTTCACAGGCCGAGATAAACGAGAAGCTGCAGACACAGGAAGAGGCATTTAATGCACGAATAGAAAAATTGAAAAAGGCCTGAGGACTCGGTACAAAGAGAGTGATGCTAAACTTCACAGAAACAAACAAAACCAGTCAGAATAATAGACTCTCTAGAGCATCCTATCTCCTTTATTTAGTTGGGAAAGGAAAAACAAGCCCCACTTTTGATTATCGTAAGTAATTAGAAAAGCATTGGCCCCAATTTTGCTATCTCCTGTCCCATGGCAGCCTCTGAATTTATTGCATTGAGTATAATAAGAACATTTTGTATATAAAAGTTTGGAGAATTATATATATAAATACAATTACTTTTACAATACTTCTTTGACATTTTGACTAATGAATATTATTCATCTTCAAGGAGAATGAAGTCAACATTTCTAAATAAAGACAAATAATGATAATTTTATCCAAATTGACTCATATGAACTACCCCATAAATGAAGCATTGTGGATAGATACAATTACCACACTACAAAGTATAAAACTTAGTAAACAATAGCTATTCAAATGCATATACTAGGGGATTTTTTCTTAAATCTTTTGGTTTCCTTATTTGAACGTTTCAGTGTGAAACCAATTTTCTAAAATTACATAATGCAGTTTGAAGCACTTTAATTTATTCTGTACTGTATTTGTTATTTCTAATCTTGTTACTCTCCCAGGAGAATACATGACCTATATAAAAAGAAGCAATGTATAAATGGTTATTAAAGACCAACCTATATATAGACCATAAAAATCTTAACTACAAATCAAACACAGAGCTCTTAAAATTAACCATTATATGGCAGTAGAATAATTGAAAACATCTCAAGCCTTTAAATAGCTTTATTAAAATATAATTTCAAAAGAAAAATATCTATTTACCAACTAGTTATCCCTAGTTGGACAAATTAAATTAATTACTCCTTAGACCCTTTCCAAGCGTCTTAGACTTCAGAGTATTTCAGAATGGAGAGGTTGCTAGGAGGGGACAGTTCCTTCAAATAGTTTCCAGTTTATACTGGAACCAACAGTACTTGCATCTGGGTGGTACTTGGTTGGATATGTTCTGTCTGTGCTCTAACTCAGTCTATAACCTTACCTTCTCCATCAACTCCAAAGAGATTTCCCAAAATGTGTTTATTTGGAGGAGAGGCAGATCTGGCAGCATTTGGTAATTTTCTAAGTAGACTGAACAGCAGTATAAGCGAAGTCCTAAAGATGAAACCATCTCTATTGCTCATGTAATTCCAAGATGGGAAGGCCTGCAGAGGTGCTGAGATTTTTTTTTTTCCTAAAGCTCTCTTCACTAATTGAAATGTTCATGGCCACAGCAGAGCACTAGGGGTGCTCACATATCTTGATTCCATCAAGTAGTCTTTTTCTCTAGGAAAACAGAAGTGAAACTAGAGAAACCACAAACCGGGAATAAAGAAGCTTCTAGAAATCACCAAAGAGCTCCAAATGTAGTTGTTGGCACAGAGTAGACCTGCATTTTCAACAGAGTGCTTATTTTGAGCAAAGGTACCAAGAGTCTACCCTGGCTGGTATAGCTCAGTGGTTGAGCATTGACCTATGAACCAGGAGGTCATGGTTTGTTTCCTGGTCAGGGCACATGCCCAGTTTACAGGCTCAATCCCCAATTGGGGCCATTCAAGAGGTAGCCAATCAATGATTCTCATCATTGATGTTTCTATCTCTCTCTACCTCTCCCTTCCTCTCTGAAATCAATAAAAATATAAATTTAAAAAAATTTAAGAGCCCAAAACTGAGGCTCTTAAAAGGAATAAATTTCTAGGTCAAATTTTATTTGCATTTCCAATTTTGATAGATCTGATCAAAGTGGCTTCCAAAGATATTGAAAACTGCAATAGGATCCCTAAACATTGCACAGAGATAATCTACACTAATAAAAGAGAAACATGAAAATTAGCCATCACTCCGTTACGCCCACCAGCCAATCAGGAGGGGACATGCAAATTAGAAGGAGAAAGATGGCGGCCACGCAGCTTCTCCAGGCTCAGAGTAGGGGGCTGGGATCTACAGGAGCAGCACTCTGGTCACAGCGAAGATGAAAACTGCAGACTCCGGAGTCTGCAGCAAAGACCAAGATGGCAGACTGCAGCCAGAGTCTGCAGCAAAGATGAAGATGGCAGTCTGTAGCGAAGATGACAGACACTGGCCTGAATCTGCAGCAAAGACAAAGACGGCAGACTCCAGGCATAGTGAAGGCCTAGATCCCAGGTGCTGGAGGAAAACCGGTCCTAGAAGCCAAGGGAAAGAAGGCCCTCTGCATGAATCTCTTCATGCAATGGGCCTCTAGTATATTATAACTAGAGTTTCAATTATAGAAGATAAATAAATACCAACAAAAATGGCGGTAGCCATGGAGCTGGAGAGAGCAGGAGGCTTGAGTTGCCCCTGGCAATAGAGGAAGCCAAGCTTTCCAGCTGGCCCAGGCCTCCACTCAAGGCTACAAAGTTTCAATTATAGAAGATAAATAAATCCCAGATACCAGGGCCTCCACTTGGATCACTGGGGGGCATGGCCAGCCTGCAAACTACCACAGGGCCCCCACCTTGATCTGGGACACCCTTCAGGGCAAATCAGCTAGCCCCACCCATGCACTAGGCCTCTACCTTATCAAATCCTATCTAATAAAAGGATAATATGCAAATTGACCATCACTCCAACACACAAATAGCTGCCCCCATGTGGACACAGGATGGCCAGCAGGGGAGAGCAGTTGGGAGGGACCAGGTCTGCAAGGGAGGGCAGTTGGGAGGGACCAGGTCTACAAGGGAGGGCAGTTGTGGGTAATCAGGACAGCAGAGGAGGGCAGTTGGGAGGGACCACGCCTGCAAGGGAAGGCAGTTGGGGGCAATCAAGCCTGCAGGGGAGGGCAGTTTAGGGGTAAACAGGCAGGCAGGGAAGGGTAGTTGGGGGGCACCTAGGCCTGCAGGGAAGAGCAGTTGGGGGGTACCAGGCCTATAGGGAAGGGCAGTTATGGGTGACCAGGCCTGCAGGGGAGGACAGTTAAGAGCAAACAGGCTGGCAAGGGAGCAATTAGGCATCAATCAGGCTGGCAGTGGAACAGTTAGAGGTGATCAGGCTGGCAGACAGAAGTGGTTAGGTGCAATCAGGAAGGCAGGCAGGCGAGCAGTTGGGAGCCAGTAGTCCTGGGTTGTGAGAGGATGTCCAGTCGGCTCTATCCTATCTGGATCAGGCCTAAATGGGAAGTCGGATATCTCTCAAGGGATCCCAGATTGGAGAGGGAGCAGGCTGGGCTGAAAGACACCACCCGTACATGAATTTTGTGCACTGGGCCTCTAGTGTTACAATATTGTTTTAATTTGCTTTTATTGTTTTACTCAAAATGGACTGAGCACCTTTCATATGTTTATAAGCACATTATATATATATATATAAATATATATATATGTACTTAAATTAGACATATATTCATATTAATTTTCATAATAACCCTAAGATACACAGATATTTTTAGCCTTGTTTTATTACAAGTTCTGAAGCCTGAATCTTTACGAGATTATTAACTTGACCCCAGTCACACAGTAATTGATGGATCAGGGCTTCAAACCCAGGTCTGACCTATTTTACAGATGAGGAAACTGAAACACAGAAATTTTAAGTAATTTTCCCATGACCACACAGCCAGTAAATGGTAGAACCAGGTTTTGAACTTAGATCTGTATGAGTACAAAACCCACATACTTAACTTTTATGTTTATCTAGTTATGTCATAGCCAATATGGAACAAAGTGAAAACTGACCTTTTCGCTACAATACTAACCTATCACTTAGACAAGCAGCTGGCTTTCTCTTATCCACATATAATAAGGGGACAAATTTGTTTATGTTGCTACCATATTAGGTATTTATAAAACTTATGCAAGGATGCAATATATTACCCAGTTCCCTTCATTCCTTCATGCATTCATTTCTTTTACTATAAATTCATTGAGTACCTACTATGTGCCATTGCACTTAGTAGTGAGCAAATAGATGTGGTCTCTGTCTAATAATCCAGTGAGAGTGATAATTAATGCTAACTGTGAAAAAGACAAGCTTCAAAGAATTATAAGTGTTGTACAAAGGAACTTGATTTAATCTAGGAGGTCAGGGAAGCGACCCATGAGTTTTGAGATTTCAGCTGGGGTCTGAGGGATAGGACAGAAGACCAAAGAGGAAGATGGGGTCCAGGTGAGAGAAAAGCATGTGCAAGGTCCCTGGGCTGCAAAATGAGGCTGTACAGTTGCTCCCAGCCAGAGCACTTGCAGGGTTCCATAGGCTACACAGATTTTTATTTTTAACCTAAAAGTAATGGGAATTTGTTGATAAGTTTTAAGTAGCAAGTGACATCAGATTAGTATTTTTAAAAAGGCTATCTCCCTGGTGCCAGGATTTCTATCCATAGAAATATGGAAAAAAATATTCTCATGAAAGGATTCCTACTGTTAATGGTGCTATAGCTCTACTTCTCAGCAATTTCCAAGAGTGGGAGAAATAAAGAAAAATTCTGACTTTTTTTTAAAGTCACAAAGTCCACCTACTCTAAGCAGTCTCTGACACAAAGGCAGCCCTCTGAAGAGCCAATTAAAAACAATACTAACCTATCACTTAGACAAGCAGCTGGCTTTCTCTTATCCACAGTAAGGTATCTTTCTTCCATTTGTAGGAATAATTTGGGGTGTTTTTTTTCTTACCCTCGTGATAAATTTCAAAGACAATATATTCATTATGTTAAGAATAAACCACAGTCTGCCACTATCACAGGTATTTACAGGCACTATTGTGCCTAAATATAGCTAGGGAGTCATTTTTTTTTTCAAAATCTGAATATAAAGCCCCTATTTCTATCCTCCATTTGATTGGAACTATTCAACCATCCTGGTAGATAATAAGTTTGCATGTTCTTAGATTGCATTTCATTATGCTTCAGTTCCCCTAGAGAATCAACATGCTCCTTTTTCCAACAATTATAGCAGAGAAGTACTTCTGACATCTCAAGTTTCAGAGTCTCAAGAAGACGAC